CATTATTAATAATTTTAATATTTTTTTTTATAATATATTTTTTTTTTATATTATATATTTTTTTTCACGTGTCTATAAAGATATATATTTATAAATAATTTATTTTATTTAATGATTCATTTATTTAAATATATTTATTTTTAATAAGAAATATAATATATTAAATTGAAAATATTTTTTAATATATAATATAAATATATTTTTATTTTTATATTTTTTGATATAATAGAAATGAAAATATATTTATTATATGCATTTTAAAAATTATACAATTATTTTATTAACTTAATCAATATTTTTAATATTTATATTTTAAATAAATAATTATCATATTTTTTTCATTTATTATATTTTATTTTGTAAAATATAAAAATAATAATTTTAAATTAAATATTATATAGATAAATTTTAAATAAATAAAAATAAAAAGAAAATAAATTAAAATGGAAAAAATTTATAAATAAATATAAAAATAAAAATTCGAATAATATAAGTCTTAATAGCAAATATTTAAAAAAATACTTTACTTCTTTATATTTTATTATAAGAAAACGATGAAATTTAAAACTCTTATAAATATTTGGACTAGGAAAATAGCATATTATTAAATTCAGAAACAGATAATTTTATAAGCTAATCATATTTATTCAAGATTATAAAAAATAAAGATTTGGAAATTAAAATAAAGAATTATAATAATGAAAAAAATAATAAATAAATATAATAATAAGTAATAAATAATAATATATATTAAAAAATGTATAAAAAATATATAAAAAGCATAAATAATTATAATAAGATGATTGTAAGAATAAAGAAATAATAAATATAGAAAATAATTTTTAAGAATAAAAAATTTAAAATAATAAATAAATTAATCATATTGAGGAAGAAAATATAAAAGGTAATGAATATATTAAAGACTAAAATATATGTATATTTTTGTATTAATATAAAATATATTAATATAAAATAATATAAAATATAATAAATAATTATTTATATAATAAAGATGAATTCTCTTAAATAGATTTATTAAAATAAAATAATATATCACTTTAAATAAATGAAATGAACGAAGAAAAATAATTAATATATTTATACAATTTAGACTTTCAAATAAAGCTATAATCTATAAAAGTTAATATAAAAAAAATAAAAAAATCCAAACAAAATTAAGTAAAATCTAGATTTTAAATGCTTTTAAAAAAAACTAGAGAATAAATAACTAATAATAAAGATTTAAAAAAAAAATATTTAATATTGAAGATATTGAAAAAAGCGAAAAAATAAAAAATAATGATATTATATTAAATAAAGCATCAAATGAAAACCCTATTAATATTATAAGTAGTAATCATTCTTTATAAAATTTAGAAAAACAAGTAAAATATATATCTTCTAAAACAAACCAAAAAGAACATATTCAATAATAATTAATATAATCGCCTTTAAAGAATAATATTTAAAAAATATAATCAGATTCTAATAATAAATCTAAATTTATTTAAGAGGTAACATTAATTATTAATCTATGTAATTTTAATATATATTATTTGACCAAAAGAAAAATAATTAATTTAAAGAAAAACCAAGTGCAATAAATATGAGTTACTAAGAAAAATAAAAAGAAAATAAAAAATCTAAAAAATAATTAATAGATTTGACTTAATAAGACGATTAAATACCTAAAAAAGTAAAAGATTAAAAATTAATTTTTTAAATATTAACAAAAATAAGGAAAATTATATATAACCAAAATAAAATGCAAAAGAATAACTTTAAAATATATATAAAAAAGATAATGTATATTCAAAAGGAAATCTATAAATTTAAAAACCAGGAGGTATAAATAATATAATAAAAATAAATGGTAATTAAGAACAATTAAATTAATATTAACATGTATATAATTTTAGATAAAATGAACCTTATTAATTATAAAATAAATTCCCTCAACCTATTAATTAATAATCTCTTCCTATATAACCTGTTATATAATAAATACCTATATAATAACTACCTTTAAAATAGGCGAATTATTATCCGCCTTAATTTTTTTAAAGTCATTTATCATAGATACCTTAATAAATAATACATCAATAATAATAACCTCAATGCTATTATATTGACAATTAATAAGATTAAGCAATGTAAGGATTTAACAATTATCCTTATTAATATTAATAATAATAACATAATCAAATTATTCCTTAGTAAGTAAATATGACTTAAAGTTAAGTTAAATAATATCCAACAAACAATAATTATACATAACTATATAATTAGTAATAAAATCCATTTGGATAAGGGTATAGAAATTAATAAATAAATGCTATTGTTAATAACTCTAATTAAATTTAATAACCATAAAATCCTTATAATAATAATTAAATATAAATTTAACATGGAAATATTAATTATATATAAAATTCATAATATAATTAATAATAATAATATAAATGATTTTATTATTTTTATTTATGAGAAAGAAAAAAAAATATTTAATTTTTGTTATTTTAATTTTTTTTTTTTTTTTTTTTTTTAAGTTTTCTTTTTTTTTTATTCAATTATATTAATTTAATTTACGATATAAATTTTAAAAAATATCATTTTATTAATTTTATTAAATTATTTTAATTGTTTATGTTTATGTTTCTATAGATAATTTTGAAAATAAATCTGAATCTTAAGCATCTTCGTAATTTTTTAAAACTAAATTTGTTATAAAATCATTTAAATATATTTATTAAAACTTTTTTAATATTTTAATTAATGTTTATTTAGAAACATCATTTAATTAATCAATTTTAATTATTAATAGTCTCAAAAAGTATAAGTCATCACCTATATATATATATATATAAATTTTTAAAATATAATACAAATAAAATTAATACCAAAGTTTAATATTTCTTAAAAAGCCTCTTCAATCATATTTTATTCTAACTTAAAAAATATTTAAATATTATTTTTATAATTAAAAATATATATACGTAATTTAAAGCTTTTTCCCATATTTAATAACACTCATTTTTAGGTTTTTTATTAGTTTAAATACACTCGAATAGTTAAGTATCTTCTAAAGAAGATTTATTCATTTATTTTTATTAACAAATATTTAAATCTTAAATATAGTTTTCGTTTAATTTAATGGCTTGTTCTTAAATAAGATTATTAGAGTAAAAATTTTCTGATTGGTTTTCTTTATCATTTAATTAATTATTTTATTCTAATTCTTATAAATTATATTTTTTTAATTATTTATCATAGTCAGATTCATAATTATATATTTGGATTTATTTATCAATTAAATCTCTTTATTATTTTTATATTTATTCTAAATTAGACAATTAACTATTGTAAAATTAATACATATTTTATTGATTTTCTTATTATTATTAAAAAATTAAAATCTCATTATTTTATTTTTATTAGTCAATTTTTACTTATTAACGTAAATCTTTATATTTATTCAAAATATAATTTCTTATTAATTATTGTCTTTCTTTAGATTTGTTTTTTTATATTCTTAATTTTTATTCGTCTAAATCAATCCTTCCTCCACCATATCCAGTATATTTTTTTATATATTATTTCGCTTTTAGATCGTTTACCTTTTTTTATAAAAAATAATAATAATAATAAAAATAATAATAATAATAATAATAATAATAATAATAATAATGATAAAATTATTTTATCAATTTTTCTTTTACATATGCACCCTATTTATTTAAAATATTTTTTATTCCTAAATCATCTTCTACTATTATAGTTTTTGTAACTTAATTATCTTACTATTTACTAATATAATTCTAATTTTTTTTTTTTTTTATAAAAATAATACAATATTTTATAATAAATATATATATATATATATATATATATATTATATATTTATATATATATATATTTAAACCTGCGCATTTGTACAACTTTAAGCCTTTTAAAGTAATAATTATTCTATATCATTTTCTTTGCTTTTTTATTATTTTTATAACTTCTTTTATTATATTTCATATTCACTTTATTTAACTTTTTGCCATTATTTTAGTGCTTCTTTTGCTGCGTTTTATACTTTTAATATTTTGTCTTTGGTATTTTCTTATATTTATGGTAATACAAAAGTCTTTTTTGTTTAAAAAGATAATTTTTATAAATTAAATTCTTATATTTATTTTTAAATTAATAAAATTACATGATATTATCCTATTATTTGTATTTATTATTCTAATATTTAAATTCCAATTAAAGTTATTAATTCTAAAGAAGCAACTTTAGTCTTTTTAAAAATTATTTAAAAAAAATAAAATAAAAAAATAATATACATTATAATTATAGTTTTTTTCAGAGTTTAAAAAGTAAACTAATCTTTAAATAATTTAGAATAAAATATGTTACAAATTTTTAATTTTAACAAAATTAATAATTATATAAACACTTTTTATTAAAGAAGGGTGATCGATACTACTTTTCTTTTTTTAGATATATATATATATATATATATATATATATATATATATATATATATATATATATATCTAAATGTATATATATAATTTTTATACTAAATATATTCCCGTAATATATTTTTTCAAAATCTACATTAAGAATTCTCTATCTTTAATTTTTTCCGCTAATTCCAAAACAGCTTCAATAATCATAACTGAAGTTATCTATTTTTGTTTGTTTGTTTATTTTTTTTATAAAAATAAAATTACTTAGGCAAATCTATCAGTTCCACCACAAATAATACCTGATGGAATTTCGTATAAAACAGCTAGTTTATTGTTAACACTTTCATTTAAGAGCTAACTTCTATATATTTGTTTCCAAGTTTTGCAACATTATTTTTACACAGACTCGTTTGTATCTCTAAAATATTTACTTATTAATTATGCTACCCTTAAACATGAACTAATTAAATCATTGTCTAAAGGATCTATTAATTAAGTTCCATATATATCACATATTAATCCTATTAAAAAAACTTCGGATTCATTTGATGTGTAGTTTTGGGGCTTTTTATATTCGTTTAAGCTTGAAAAAAATACTCTCAAACCTTCTTTTGTTTTATTTTCTTCTATTAAATTTTGGAAGTCTTTTAATGCTTATTAGCGGGTATCTAATATGTTTAATTTTGGCAAAAATGATGTAAACTAAGCCTTTAGGTCTATATAGGATTTTTAACCTGTTATCAATAAAATTGGAGATTTTTTACTTGGGGACTCTATTTTGTCTTCCAGTTTAATTTTAGGTCTTTTTTCTTTGGTTTTTTGTCTATTAGGTTGATTTTTTTTTGGAGCTTTTATTTTTATTTTATTTTTTGGTATTTTTTTTTTATTTTTTTACTTAAAGGCTTTTATTGTTGGTTTTATGGAGAAGAATCTGGTTATGTATTCATTTTATATTTTTTTAAGTTATTTTTTTATTTTTAATATTTAAATTAATATAATAATATTTTTTATGTTTTAAATTAATTGTTTTTTAGTAATTTACTTTATATATTTTTTTAAAAAAAATCATTTTTTTAATATATATGTATATAGTTTACAACATTTTTTTTTTGTCATAATTTTATTATTTATATTTAAAAAAAGACTAAAAAATAAAAAAATCAAATAAAAATAACTGAATATAGCCTTTTTTGATTAAGTTTTTAACAAAAAATTATAGAAAAAATAGATAACTAAAAAAATAATAAAAACAAACAAATTAAATATTAAAAGTTTTTGATTTTTTTCATTCAAATTTTTAATATTTTTTATCATCATTGTTATTTTTTTAAGAATCTATATTATCGTTTACTCCTCCTCCAATAAGTATCCCTTTAGCTTTTGAAAATATAGTATTTTAACAGACTCCTTATTCATTTTCTAAGAGATTTTATTCTCTACTATTATCATCTTATAGTTTATCAAAATCATTCTAATTATTATCTAAAATATTAATTTATTATTATAATTCCATTTCTTAATTATTATTGTAATTTACTGGAATTCTAACTTCTTATTAATCATTATTTTCCTCAATATTATTATTTTCATTTTATTATATATTATTTTAACCTCCCTATTATTATTATAATTGTTGTTATTATAAATTATTCTAAAAATCAAATCTCATATCTAAATTATTATCAGGATTATTTTAAGCCTCTTCAAGTACTTAACTTAAAAGCATATAATTCCTATCTACTAAAGAAAGCTAGTTTTATGTAAAATGCTCTCTTCCATATAGAGGATAAAACATAGTCCATAATTAAGGCAAATCATAATACCAAGAAAGGTTAAATAAAGGAAAATAAAGGCATCTAGGTCTATTTAAGGAAGGTGTATAATGAAAAGAGTCATTCCAGGAAGCTGCGGGGATTTCAAATTCAAGTAAAATAAATGCAAAAACAACTACTAGAAAGCATATTATGGAATATAAAAAAAGGGCATAATACCCATATAATGTATTTTGGACATAAAATAAAAAAGTGTATATTAAAGCCATTGAAAAAAGGGGAAACCATTTCAAAGAACTTCTTGTGCGAATAAATATTAAAGAAATTAATTCCAATATAGCTAAATAGGCAAGGAAATTTTCGTCAACACCTTTCGGAAGTTGCTTATAGAATAAAAAAAATGTCCCTATATATAAAGCAGATAAATATACGAAATAAATTAATACTATCATTTTTAAAAATGAAGACACTAAAGCAGTTGAAGATCTTCCTCCTAATGCATGTAAATATATACCTATATAAGGAAATGTCTATATTAGACTTGATGTATTTATATCTGATTATCCTAAACAGCTTATACAGTTTACTTTTTTGTTTGTTAATAATTTATATATTATATATATTTTTTTTACTTATTAATAAAATAAATATAGGTGAACATATCATACTAACTTTTATATATAATGATGATACTGATGAAGTATAAAATAGACCGAATGTTATTTTTAGTATTGATATAATAGTTTTATATATAAATTCTAAGATTGAGTTGATTTTGTATTATTAGATTTATTAAATTGTCCAATAAAAATGTTCTTCTGAATATAAATTTTTTATATAAATATCTTTTGTTCTTTTTTTTTTTTTTTTTTTTATTTTTATTTTGTTATATGTTTTGCTTTTTTACTTGAAATTATTTAAAATTTCTAAAATTAAAATTTAATCAATGTCTAGTATGTTAAATAAAATATATCTGTATAAAAAATTAGATGCATAATCTTCAGGCTCTATATATACAATTACTGTAGTAATATTTTTATATTTTCTTTTTTTTTTTTTTATAAAATTTTAAACAATAATATTAAAGTTTTTTTTTTTTATATATATAGAACCAACCTTAAATATTTTGGAAAATTAACAGATTAAGGGATTGCTGAATGTTCGATTTAAGCAGCAGGTTGTCTTGTGCAATGTGTTTTTAATTATTTTGTTTTAGGATGGATATAAGATGCTTTTAATTCATTTTTTTCTATGTTTTCTTATTGATTTTCTGTGGTTTCTTATTTTTCATCATCATAATAGTTGTAATCGTAGAAACTTATTGGTTATTATTGTATTGTTTTATTGTAATTACAAATATTATAAAATACTACAGTATCATTGTGTATTACATTATATTCTTTTTATATACAATTAAAGATATATTTAATATTATTTATTATCTTATTTTTTTAACAAATAAAAACCTGATTATTATTTAAAATCTTGATAATATTTTCCTAATACTCCAGGTTTATTACTATATGAAAATGTAGCAAATAAAAATAATGAAAAATAAAATAAGCCTGTATTTAGATATTAATATAAAATAATATAAATTTCTGTATTTTTAATACCTAATAATGTAAATACATATTTAATGTAATTAAATATTAAGATAATTTTTTAATGACTTAATACTTTTTCATGTATTCTAAATAATGTTTTTTCTAATTCCATTTGGTTATAACAATATTTATAAATTTTAAATAAATATAAATAAATATTTACAAAATATTTAATATTTTATTTTCGATTCAATAAATAGAAAGTTAAAACAGAAACTTATAATATGTTAAAAAAATATATAAAATGTAAATAACAAATAAATAATAAATAAAAAAGAAAAAAATGTTTTTAAAATAAATAATAAATATATATAAATATAAGAATATAAAAAAATAAAATATATATTTAAATATATATATTATATATATATATATATATATTTATATATATATATTTATATATATATATTTTAATAAAAAAAAATATTACTAAACTTAACTTTATTAATTTTTTTTTTATTATCATTTTTATTTTTATCATATATATTTATTTTTTATATTTAACTTATATATTTAAATAACATATATTTAAAACATAAAATAATTTATTGATAAATCTATTTTTTTTTTATATATATAAAATAAATAAATATATATTTATTTATTTTATTATATTTTTCAATTATTTTTATTATATATGTTATTTTATTAACTTTAATTGTTATAATTTTTACTAATTAATTACTCTTTAAATTTATCGAAATCTAATATATCTTATAAATTATTCTATTCTGTAAAATTTTTATTATTTGTTAAATTGCTACTTCTATTACTATTATTCAAATTTTTATTTATATTTAAAACTTAATTTTCATTATTTTCTTAGAAATTGTTAGTTTAATTATTATTTATTTATTAAGTATTTAATAATTCTTTTTATTCAATTTAAGCTTCCATTGATTAAATATAATTTTAAAGATTTTAAAGCTGTTTATCTATTTCTTTCTAACAAATATTATCGAATTCAGGGATTGTATAAATTAATTTGTTTTCCCATTCTTTATTTTCTTTTATTTCTTTTAATTTAATTTAATTTGTGGAATAAAAATCTAATAGAAGTGTCTTTTTATAAATAAATAAATATTTTATTATGTTTTGTTTTTTTTTATTACTTAATCTTAATAATTTTCATGTTTTGATACTAAATCTATTATTTATTTGAATTCCATTTATTTTTCTTCTAGTGAAATATTAATTAATTCTATTTTTTTTAAATTTTATTAATGAATTAAATCACATATTTAATTTAATTCTTTTTCTTTATCATCTAATTTATTCCTTAATTCCTATTTTCATCATATTAGTATAATATATAATTAATTATAAAAATTAAAATTACATTAAAATTGAATTAAATTTATTTTTTAAAACTTTTATTATTAATACATAATTATTAAGTAATTGTATCTAATTATTATTTTCTTTACTAAGCTTATTTTAATTTATAAGCCATATTGTATTAAAATTCTTCTATTTTTTATTTTATTAAAGGATATGCTTTTTTAATTGTTTTAACATCATGGTTCTTTTTTTTTTTTTTTTTTTTTTTTTTTAATATATATATATAACAAATTATACTTAATGGGTTCCATGAATCACACATTCAGGACAAATGCATCTGGATTAGCATTAAAAACAAAAATAAAGAATTTCTTCTTCTGGATGATCTTAACATTTTTATTTTTTATTTCTTGAGAAAATTAAAATAATAAAATTATAATTTCTTATTTATTATTATTTACATTTGTATATCTTTTTATTCTCTTTAATATGTATGATTAGTTTATTAATAAGTGTAGGTTTATTATTAATATGGAATTGTGGTTTATTTATTATCTAATCTGAGACTTGAAGGAGATTTTAATTAAGATTCATCAAAATTATATTAGTTATTAGGCTTTCTTTCATATGATAATAGCTTTTTTTATTCTGATTGATTCATTTTAATTTATATTTATAATTCAATATTTAATTTTTGTAATTCATATACACTCTATTAATCTAATTCTGTGCTTTTTCCACATTATAAACATGTTATAAACTTTTAATTTTTAAAATATATTTAATAATTTATAAAAATTATATATACTCTGTTATCAGGATTATTGTTTTCAGATGTAAAAATTAATGATGCACAATTAAGACATAAATCATGATTACATTCTAACATTAAAATATCTTCTGGAATTTATTTACAATTATTACAATTTTAAATAGAATCTTATTACATATTAATTTTTGTTGATTTAAAAATAATTTTTTTTTTTTTTTTTAAAGAAAATGTTTTATTTTTTAATAAAAAAAAGTTTTATTTTGTTTTTTTATATAAAAAATAATTAGTTTTATTACTAAAAGAATTATATATATATAAATAAAATAATATATATATATATATATATATATATATATTTATTTTTAAAAATAAAGTTAAATGTAAATATAAATTCAAATACTTATTAATTTTTTTTAAAAAATATTCAACTCATATGTTTCATTCGTTATACTACTCTGTTCTATCTATTTGGTTAATTAAACTCTTAATAAAACTCCTAATATTTTTGTTTTCTCTTATTACTTTTATAGGTATCATATTAAGCATTTTTATAGTCCTATTAATCTATTTTATTTTTATTTTTATTTTATTTTATTTTATTTTATTTTATTTTATTTATACATATATATAATATTGTTTGTTACTTCTACACTCATTTTATTTATTTTAGGCAACCAAAATATAAAATAACCAATTAATATTATTAATATAAATCCAAATAAGTATACAAATTATAAATTAGAATTACTATCAATATTATTTTATAGAAGATTTTATTCAAAATCAATTAAACTGTCCATAATTGGTAAAATATATTTATAAAGAGAAATATCTTTTATTATTTTTATTTTATTTTAATAGATAATAAATAAATATATATATTTATTACCAGCATCAGCAAATTCTTTATTATCAATTATTTATGTATTTTTAGCATTAAGTTCTAAAAATAAATTTAAGTTTTATTAAAATATATTAAAATAATGATTTATAGCATTATCCATACCCTAAATTATATTATTTATATATTAAAATATTTTTTAATATTAAATAAAATTTATTAAATACTAATTAAATATTCCCATTTAATGCTTTTTAGCATTAATTCAATAAAGTAGAATTTATTTAAGTACATGGATCCCCATAAAATATTATGAAATATTTATCTCTAAATTCAATTTAATTTGTAAGTATTTCTAAATTAAACTTTTAATTAATAAAATATATATATATATAAATATATATATATATATATATATATATATCTTAAAAAAAATACATTTTATAATTTTCCATTTCTTCCGATAATATTTTTTAAGTGTGTGAATGCTATAGTTTCGGCAGTTTCATTAAAAATAATATAATTTTAATTTTAAATTAATATTTTTTATATATTTATATAATTCCCAATTGAATTTATTAGATTACTATCTAAATAATATTAAGGCCAAAGAAATTATATTTACTATTTCTGATTTAAAATAGAATAAAAATTAACTATAGAATATAATAATGAAATTATTATTATAATCATATATTTTAAAAATAATTATTTAGATCCTTTAAATTTTTTCTTTTTATAATTTTTTATTGTTTTTTCCTTTTTTTCATTAATTCTTCTTAACTTTGAATTTCTTCATCATTCAAATTATTATCAGATAAATAATTATAAGTTTAGATATAATCTAAAAAATAAAAAAAAAATATATTAAAATTATATAAAAATAAATAAATTTATATAATAATAATTAAATATATAATAATCATATTTAAAAAAATAAATAATTTTTTGTTATTTATTTAGCAAAAATAAAAAGTAAATTTATATTAAAAATGTATTAAATAAGGAAAATTAAAAAATATAAAAATAAATATATATTTATAGCAAAAAATTTAATAATTTTTAAAATGATATAAATATAAAAATATATTAATTAAAAAAAAAAAAAAAATATAAATGAAATTAAATATATATATAAAAAAAAAAAAATAATATATGTATAAATAAAATTATATATAAAAAATAATGAAATATATATAAAAATATAAATTTAAAAAAAAATATATATGTAAATATTATATAAATAAATAAATATAAATATATATATATATATATATATATATATATATATATATATATTTATATAAACCTACTATTATATTCATTTTATTCATCATCTGAACTTTCTTAATCTTAATTTTCATTTTTTTATATTAATTCTTTTATTGAAGTATAATTTTTTAAAAATCCATCACAATGCTGATATAAATAATCTACGTGTTTTAATGGAATATCTAAAAATAAAAATAGAATATTTTCTTTTTAATCTTTTATTAGTAAAGTCATACTAGTAATAAAAATAACAGAAATTATACTTATAATTGATAATGAAACTATTGATATTATAACACCTATATTTAATTAATCTAAATCTTTTATTATTATATTGTTAACATGTTCAGATAAATCTTATAAAGTAATATATATATTATTATAATAATTATCAACAATTGTGTTAAATTGTCCTTCTTGAAAAATTTATTATTTTTTCGTCAATTCTGAAAAACCTTTAGAAACAGCCATTAACTAATTTTTTATAATATATATATATATAATCTTTTTAATACATTTATATATATATTTTTAATTTACTACTGATATACTATTTAAATAATCAATAGTTTCCATTTAATAACCACTTTCATAATATTTATTATAAATTCTCATTTATAGATCTCTTTTAAACGAATTTATAAAAATATCATATTATTATTAATTTAAGTCGTTTATAATATCTGAAACAGCCTAAATTGATATGTTCAATTATTATTTCATAGCATCTGTTTAATAATAGTCTTGATTAATATAATTTTATGATAAAAGTTCCATATTTAATACTAATGATACTATTTAATTACAGTACATTACTCTTTAATTTATTTTTGTTATTACATCTACGTTTAATTTATATTATTTGAATATTTATTTACATGAAAAGAATTAAAATGTACTTATTGCTAATGTAAATATTAACCAACATATATTTATTGTTTTAAATATTAAAATTGATTAATGCTTTTTGTTTTTTTTGTTAAAAAAATATAAATAAATAGACGGTAAAATATTTATATTTTTTTATAAATACTTTACTTTATGCTCTGTATTTAATACTTTTATTATTATATTTTATGAATTTTTTTAATTAAATATTTAATATTCCTCCTTACTTTCGTATATATCTCCAGATTAATTTTAAAAAATACTATTTTCATTTTCATCTGAGTCCTTTTTTTGTTTTGGTTTAATAATATATATATATGTTTTTTCTAATACCGAATCTACTAAGTAATTTTCATTAAAAATATTTTCAATTTTATTATTAATTAATCTTTTAGTTTTAATATTTTAACAATATTCAGCAAATACTCTAGGCTATTCTTATTAAAATTATTATTATTAAGAAACAATATCTTCATTTTCATAATAATCATCTTAATTTGAAGTTTTATAAAATTCAATAATAAACTTTTATAAATAATCATTTTAATGCTAAATATTATTTTAAGATAAGTTTTAATTTGAAGGTTAGTTATCATTTTAATTTTAGTTATTATTTATATTTTAATATTAATTATTGTTATAATGTTAATTATTATCATAAGGTTAGATATTTTCTTAAGGAATTAATTATAAAGAATATTATGAATTTTATTAGTCTTATATTTATTTATATTATTAATTATAATTATTTTTAATAATTTCAGGACTATATAAATTATTATTATCTGAATTATTTTACTGAGAATTAATATTGTTTGTACTTGGAACACTTTTAACACTAATATGTAATTTTCTTTCGATTTTGTTTTCCTATACTTTATCTATTTAAAAAGAATAGCCAACTAATTAATAACAAAAATTATAATCATCTTGTATAAAATTATTAATATTATCATTATTATTATTAATATTATTTGTACTTATTTAATTTTTATTATTATTGATAATAGTATTTTTTTTAATTGAATTTTTATTTTATTTTATTTAATTATTTATATCTTTTTTATTTACTGGAAGTTCTATTTTTTCAGTTCGACATATAAAACTTTAATTATTTAATCTGAACTCTTTTTATTTATTTATAAATAAATATTTATCTTAATCCCAATTTTATATCTAATAAAATAATATATGTATTATAAATATATATATAATATATATATTTTTTTTTATTTATATATTTATATTTTTATATAAATTATTTAATTTTATTTATATATTTATAAATACATATATATATATTTCATTTTTTTTTACTATTTATGATATATTCATTTGTATATTTTATTTTTTAAATATTTAGGAAGTTAGATCGAATATATTAATTGCAGATTAAGATATATCAGTTATTAAATTTAATTCATTTGTGAATATAAAAACAGTGTTTTTAGTTTAAACATCGGCTTCAAAAACTACAAAAAACTTCTAAAAATCTTCTGTTATCGGTCTTACATTGTATAAAATAGGAAAAATATATCCGTTTTTATTTTTTGCGAAATTTTTTTATTCCCGATTGAAATAATTGCTTTCTAGTGTTGTAACATATATATTTTCAAGCATTTTATTTACTAGGCTTTCATGATAAATAGATATTATATTTGGAAGGATCAAAGATAAGTCTTTTCCTATTATTTCGTCCCTTTAATACCCAAAAAGTACTGAAAAAAGCATATTTATATTCTATATTGTAGTTTATTAGGTTTTTCTTTTTTAAGCTATTATATAAGGCCTAGGTTCATTAGAATAATCGAATATTTAGTCATTTTTTCTATTTTCTATTCCATACTTTCCATTATTTCTTTACATTTTTACATAGTTTTTAAACCATTTTCTCTATCATTTAATACTTATATAAGAAATTAACCAAAAACCTTTTTAAAATATATATATATATTTATTTATATTTTATATATATAAATATTTTTTTATACTTTATATATTTAAGGAACATTAGAATTTAATTTAATCATTTATTCGAAATGATATCTTGCTTTATATACACAATTACTTATTCCTGAACCTAATATATTTAATCTTCCCAGGGCTATATTACTATCTTCCTTTAAACTAGCCCAAAATTCCTTATGTAATTAAGCAGATAATTTCATTAGTTCTTCACATTATTATATATGGGATTCGAATTCGATTCTTTTAACAATATCATTTCCTCCATCATCATCTTCTGATATTTAATCGGAATTTGAAGTTATTATTGTTTTGAATCTATATATAATAAATTATTCGTCAAATGTAGGTTTTGTACTTTCACTTAGTTTAAATTATTATAATGATTATTCTCTCTTTTTTATATTTTTTGTGTTTTTGTTTTTTGTTATATTGTTACTTTTTTCATTCTTTCGAGTAAAAAAAATGCGTAAGATATTCTTAGTTTGGTACATGTGGGAAATTTTTTAAGACCGTTTATATATATTCTATCTAATTCCTATTTTGTTGTTGTTGTAAATATTAATTTTTGTTTAGTTTTTTTTTTTTACTTTTATTAAATTCTTTATTGTTTCTTCCATTTCATCTTCTGTTTGTTTAATTTTCTTTTATTTTTTGCTTTTTAAAGGACAATCTTCTTCTTGGCAAATTTCTTTATGTTTTTCTACATATCCAATAAGTAACATATAGGCGTTTTTATCAGTTTTTTAATCTTAAATTAAAGATAATACGTATCTTAAATGTCCTTGGACTTATTCCCCGTTTTTAAATTTCATTTAGCTTCTAATAAGTGTATCTATTCTACTTTTCTTAGATGTGAGCATAATGAAAGATATAAAAGGTAATCCTAAAACCCAAATGATAAGTCCTCCATTAAAACTTGTACTGAATAAAACTTAACTTATTAAAAGCATGAAATTAGTCCATAAATAATAAGTAGTTACTATTTTATAAAATTTGCCAACCTTTTTTTATTTGTATAATATATATATGTAAAATATTTTTATTTTTTCAAAAAAAAATAAGTAAACTTCTTTATCATAATAAGGATCTTCCATATTATAAACCCAATGTAAAGAAAAACTCAATACGAAAAGTAAAATAACTAAGAGCCAATCATTTCCTTCTGGAACAAAACTAAAAATAAACTGACAAACTACTTTATTAATAATAAACACTACTTCACCTTTCGAATCTTACCTAGAAGTTCTATTTGCAGATGTCATTTTCGGTTCGAAATAAGTCAAAGACACTATACTACTTATAATGACGAAAATAAGCATAAAAAGTATCGAAATAATCTAATGGACTAGCATCCAGCCTTTCCAACATTAGACATCGTTAAAATAACTCAAAACTTAAATCCCTTGATCATTAGCCTCACATTCTACTACAGATATCAATTATTCGGTTATAGGAAGAAATAGTACAGTTACGAAAAGAGAGGCGACTGATGATAGGATTTTTAAAGGCCAGGTTATACCAAATTTATTTTAAGAAAAAGAATATGAAACATATAGAATGTCTATTATTATTAATAATATTAGGAAATTTAAACTATATACATTTACTATATACAAGTCAAAGTTTATTCGAGGCATATAGTTTTTTAAATCGAATAAACCGAAAAAAGCAAAAACTACTTCCAAAAATGAAGTTGCCTTCCATATATGTTTTATTTTGTCATTAAATGGAAAAGAATGCATTTATAAATAATCTGCACCTGTTTAGTAAAATAACATCTTTTTTTATTTTTATTTTTTTGCGCTGTTTTTTTTTTATTTTTTACTAAAATATCTTCTTCTTCTTCTTTTAATAATACATATAATACTTGAAAAACAACTGTTTTTATGCTGTTAATAATGGCTTCTACTCCTTTAATTTCATTTTAAAGGATATTGTTTTTCCCCTCAAGGTTTTAGTTATCATCCATATTTTTTGTATATATATTTATGCTTTTTTGTTTATAAATTAAAAACAATTTTTTGTTAATTATTTCAGTATTATTTTCTTTTAAAAAATAACTCTTTTATATAATTTATTTTTTATAATTAAGATAAATTTTTAAAAAATTTAATATAAATTTAAAAAAAAAAATATTAAATATATAATATATAATACATAATAGAATTTTAATTTATTATTAAAATTCTGATTGGAATTTTAAATTAATATTTTTTGATTAATTAATCATAGATTTTTACTTAAGTTTTAATAATTACATATAATCTAATAAGTTATTAATGTCACTTTATAATAATTCAGAATTATAAAAGGAAGATTAATTCAATAATTTATATTGTAAATTAAATTTGATATATTCTAATCGAATAAATTAATTATTTATTAGATTAATTAAACTTTCAAAAATAAATTTAGAAATCTATAAAATTATATTTTTTTAAAATAAAAAAATTAAAACTTTAAAAATTAAATTAAATAAATATTAACATCAAAAATCAAATTATAATTTATATATTTTTATAACTTTTTATAAAATTCAAATATTATTTAATATCTTAAGGAGGTCACATTTAAATATATCTTACAGATTAATATTTTATAAAAGAAAAGTTTTAAAATATAATAATTATTTATTAAGGTAATAAGTCAAACTATTTATTTAGTTTAAATTTATATTTCTTTTAATAATTTTAATATTTTTTATTAAAAATAAAAATTTAATAATATTTTGTTATTATATTAAGAATACTATTAATAAATTTGATTATATATACATATATATTTTATTTTTAATTAATCAATTTAATTTTATATAAAATTAAAATTACATATTTTATTTAATTAAATTATTTTTAGAAAATATATAAAAATAAATATTTTGGAATATTTATTTGTAATAATTATAGGTAAATAAAATAATTAATAAATATATATTTAATCATAGAATTATATTTAATATACAAAGAAAACGCTGAATATTTTGAGAATAAAATAAAAATCAAATAATTTATTAATTTTAAATAAAAATTATAATTTTTAATATTATTTCTATAATATAAATAATTCTTAATCTTTTAAATTTAAAAATAAGTCTTTTATAGAAATTTTATATAAATTATAGTTCAAATAATATATAAAAAGCATGTTTAGATATATACAAATTAAATAAAATTTAATTAACTTAATTATTTATTGATTTTTTAATATTTATAAAATCGTAAATAATAAAAACTAATTTATTATATTTTTAAGTTTAAAATATATTAAAGATATATTTAAATATAAATATTAAATGTATATGATTTTAAATAAAAATAATATTAAATTATATATTTTGATTTAAATATATTATAAAAATTGAAATAATAATGTTTTAATTTAAAATAAGTAAAATTAAATATTTTACAAAAAATTATCAAAATATTAAAATGATTTATAGAAACAAAGATAAAGGTAGGTAAATAGATAAGTAAAAAAAAAGTATTTAATATATATATATATAATATATATATATATTTATATATTTTATATATATAATTATATATTATTTATATTTTATATATATTTATATTTTTATTTTTTATTTTAAAATTATATATTCTTTATCTTTTAATTTTTTAATCTATATTTAAAAAATTAATTATATAATTTTTTTTTAATTTATTAGACTTTCTATATTTTTTAATTCAATAATTTAGTGTTGATATAACAAATATAATAACTTAATATATTTATATTTTATAAAATAATTCATACTCTAATTTACAAAGTCTAACATATTTATTTTTAATATAAAATAAATTATCTATAAAAAACTAAATTCAAATTTATTTTTATACACAAATAAAAAATAATAAAATTATATAAAGAATAAAAAAGAGAAAAAAATAAAAATTTAACCAGAAAAATAATGGTCGTAAAAACAGATATATGCTCATTTAGTGAATACAAAATTTATCCTGGAAGAGGCTAAAGATACTTTGCTAAAGATGGAAGAGGTTTCTTTTTCTTAACAAAGAAAGCCAAATCTCTTTCATTTAGAAAAGTTAAAGCTTAAAAAATCACATGGACAGTTGCAAGAAGAAGATTATTTAAAAAAGTAAAAAGCACTGATATATCACTAAGAAAAAAGAAGAAAGCAGTTGTAACTCAAAGATCAATTGTTGGTATTTCCTTAGAAGAACTTAATAAGAGAAAAAATTAAGATGCTTAAGTTAAAAAAGCTGAAGCTGAAAAATATCTAAGAGATTACAAATAGAAAAAATAATAGTAAATTGACAAGAAAAGAAGTGATAGAAAATTATAAGGAAAAGATACTAAGATTGCAAAAAAATAAGATGCTAAAAAAGTAAAGAATCCTAAATAAGCTAAAAAATAATGATTATGAATATTTTTTTAAAATAATTTTTTTATTTTTTTGTTTAAACAAAAAAAATAAGAGAAAATATCAAAAAATTAAAAATTAAAGGAAAATATTTTATATATTAAGCTTAACTTTATGTTTTTATGTTATATTAAAAATATTTAAATATAATTATTAATATTTATCATGTTTTATATATATAAATATATATATTGTATATTTTATATGAACGATTATTTTAATTTTTAATGTTATTATTTCTTATGTAATCAATGAATGAAAAAAAGAAGACTAAAATATATTTTTCTAGTTTAAATTGAGTGTAGTATATACATATAAACTATTATATATATATATTTTTTGTTTTCTATATATTTACTATAAAAATTATATTAATTAAATTAAATATATTTTTATTAATATTTCTTTATTTCACAAATTTTTAGTTATAATCGATTTTAATTTTAACATATATAAGAAAATATGAGTTAAATTCAAAAAATATCTGAATTTTATATGAATGATTTATTGTGGTATATTAAAAATAATTAAAAATAAAAATTTTCATTAAATTTAGCAGATTTATTGTTAACACCCCAGAATCAGAAAGAAGTATAATTAGAATATGTTTTAAATTTTAAGTATTAAAATAAAAAATCTAGTTATTATTAAATATATAAATTTAATAAAAGGAAGCATATTGGTATTATACAGATTTAATTTAAAAGAAAAATAAATTAGAAAAAATAGACTTTTAAGAATTTATATAAATATTTAAATAGGCTACTCCTTTTTTAAGACATTTGAATATATCAGCTTAAGAAATTGAACATGATTTTTATGAATATAAGAAAAAAATACCAAGATATGGTTCAATAATAATAAATGAAGATAAAAACAAAATACTTTTAAGTACAAAATAAATAATTAAAGATTTGAATAATATAAAATAATAGTAAAAAACATAAAAGCTAAAAAATACGGATTTCCAAAAGGATAAATAAATTATAATGAATCTCCTTTAGATTGTGCAATAAGAGAAACTATGGAAGAAATAGGATTTAACATTTCTAATTATGTAAAACCAGATGTAATTAATATACATTATAAATTAAATAAATAAATAATTTTTTGTTTAGGATTATATTTTAAAATAATTGAAAAATGGATAAACTCATGGATATTTTATAGCTTATTAAATTAGTGAATAGCATTAGTTTAATCCTATGGCAAGAAATGAAATCGATGACATAAAGTTTATTTAAATAAATATATTATAAAAAAATATATATATATATATATATATATATATATATATATATATATATAAATTATTTAATTTAAAGATGGTTCCATATCAAGTATATAGAATAAAATAAAGACTAATTATAATTTTAAAATGTTGCTGAATTTTTAGGATCAATTAAACTATTTTTAAAGGAAAAAGTACTAAGACTTAGAAAAGCTGATTAAGAAAATAATAAAAATTTGTATGAATAATCATTAGAAGATATATTTTTAGATTTTTAAGAATTCTTAAAAGGTGATTGTATTTTAACTACTAATTAAAAAAACTAAACTGGAATTGCTTAAAATATAATTTTGAATCCTTTTTTAGATTTTAAATTTGAATTTAGCAATATATGAAATATATAAATATTCATTTTTATATATATATATATATATATTGTTAAGTATATTTTTAATATTTTAGATATTCTCTTTTTTTTTTACATTTAATAAAATAATTAATTGAATTAAATATAATTTTTTATATAAAATATTTGATTTAACACAATTATTACTAAATATTCTTTTATTAGAAAATATATATAATAAATTATGTATCTCTTTATTAAAAATTAGAAATAATCAAATGAAATATATTATTTATTTTTTATAAGATTATATTATTAATATTATATATATTATAAACAACATAATTTAATTAAATAAATAAATTGATTTTTTCTCATTAAATAAGTTAATTATTTTTTAAAACATCTATTTTTTATCTTATATATATAATAAAGAACCTTTCTGATTTTTTTATAATGCTGAAATTGTCTCATAATAAAGTTTTAAAAAATCAAACAAACATAATAAAATGAATAACTATATAAAATATATATATATATAAGTTTGTAGTATATTTATTCCTAGCTCTTATTTATATAAAAAAATTAATAAATATTGAACTTTTTCTGATAAAACTATGTCTTTTTTTAATATAAAATAGTATAAGAAGATTAATAATATTTTTTGTTTTATATTAATTCTTTATTTATAGAAAAGGTTATTATTACGAATTTATTAAATTAATTATTGAAATGTAATAATATTTTTATTGAAATAAAATTTTTAGAAAATGATGAAATAAAATTATAAACATTTAAAAAATAAAAATAATTGAAATTAATTTAATGATAGTTAGTTTATAAATTATTCTGATTAATATAGATAGTCATTATTAATAAGTAAAAATAGATTTTAGAATAAAAAAAAAATGAAGTAAATTTAAAAAGAAGAAATAAATTAAAATTTGTTTAAGAGTTTAGATTCGAATTTTATTTTTGTATAGATTAATTTGTTTTAGAGAATTTATTTTAAAGAAAATTTTGAATTATTATAGGATATTTATTTTAGAAAAATTTAAAAAACATTAGAAAAAGATTAAGTATAAGATGGATAATTTATAGATTGTTAAATTTTTATAATTTTTTAAAAATAAAATTATATTTATATATTAATAAAATTAAATAAAAAAATGAAAAATTATATTTTATTAATTTAATTAATTAATTAATGTGTTTTATTTTTATTATATTTATAGAAAACAATTGAAAAAAAAATTAATTTAGAAAAAAAATTGATTTAATTATTATTAATATTAAAAAAAAAAAAAATTATTTATAATATTTTTATTATTATTTTTTATATTTAATAATATTCTATTATAAAAGTTAGTTTATTTATTTTTAATTAAATATAAAATAATTATAAAAAAAAAAAATATCTAATTATTTTTATTTAAATAAAAATTTATAAAAAATATTGATTTGATTATTTATTAAAAATAAATATTTTTTTTCATTAAAATATAATTAATTTTAATTAAAGAATTTTTATTTATATATTATTAAATTAAAATAATAAAATAGATATTAATATTATTTATTATAATATAAAATATAAATATATTATATATAATATATTATATATATTTTTTTATAATATAAATATTTTTTAAATCTGTTGTTTTTATTTTTAATATTTTTTAAAAAAAGATTTAATTATTAATAATTAAATTAATTAATTTTATTAAATAATTTTTCCAAGAAGTTTATATTTTTTATGAATTTCATTTTTATTTTTATTTTTATTTTATGATATTTTATATATTTTTTTATTTAAAATTTAACTAAAATCCAACACTACTTTCAATGAATTATATAATAGTGAATTTTCTTTATTTTTCATATATTTTTTATTTTAATAAGATTATTATCTTTCAATAGAACCTATATATAGTTATTTATTCTTTACTATATTATATTATCTTAATTATAATATATATAAATATATTACTTTATTAATACTTCACTTTTTTATTAACCATTTTAATTAATGTATATAATTTTCCAAATAGTGAACCTCAATTTTAAATAAAAAAATTAGTATAATTATATTATAATATTAAAATGCTTTTTTGACAAGAAAATAAATCATATATAAATATTATTTTCCTAATAATAAATTTTAATTAACATAGATAGAGTAATTATTTATTGACTTTTATAAAAAATTAATATAAGAACTATAAATAATTTTTCATTAATGTAAATAATATATATATTAATTATATTATTATTATTTATAATGTATAGAATTATATTAAAATGTTTTTATAAACACAGAAATTATCAAGAATATTATAAAAACTTAAAAAATAAAAGATATTAGTTAATGTTTAAAAAAATATATTATATAATGAATTTATATATAAGAATTAAATTTTCAGTTATTATTTTTATAATAATATATAAAAATATATATATATATATATATATATATATATATATATATATATAGATATATATATATATTTAATAGGATTAATTATATTTATAAAAAAATTAAATAATTAATAATTTAATTTTAAACTTATTAGTTTAATAAAAAAAAATTATTGCAAATTTTTAACTATTAATAGACTATATTAATAAAATATATTTAAAAAAGATTATACATTTGTATTATAAATTATTAAATGTATATTATAATGTTAATATTTATATATATAAATGATATAATAATTATAAAAAGAATTTTTAGTAATTAATTTATATTAAATATAGTAAAAAAATTAATATTTATAGATAATAATAATATTTAATAATAAATTTATGAGTAATATAAAGCTTTTAAAAAATCTAGATATTAAAATCTAGATATTTATAAATATTTTATTTATTTATTTATTTTTTTTTTAAAAAAAAAAATTATATTTTTATATTTATTATATTATAGAAATAATTTTTATTATATATTAAATAATGACTAAAATTCCTATTACTTATTCTTATAACATTCTTCCAAATTCAAATTAGAAAATTTTAAATTCTTACAATATTTTTTTCACAAATTTAACCCCTTTAATAAATTTTATTAAAAATCTAAATTCATTTGCCTATTTATAAAATGAAGATCTTCTACCTTATACTACAAAACATACTTAAATATCTTATTTAGTAGATCGATTAGAAACCTACAGATAAAAAATGAGCTATAAATATACTTTAAAGTAAATATTTATGTATATGACTGGTATAGAGCTTTTTATGGGTTTATTATTATATATAATATAAAATCTTGTTAGTTGTTTGGCTATATGGGTATTGGATTTAATCACTAAGCATTTCCGAGAAAAAGAATAAATCAATAAATTAGAATTAAGTGGTCTTTTATTATCTATATTATTAATGTATATAATAAAGAATATATTAATTACATAATACAATTGGTATAATTCGAAATGGAAAACAAACTGTAAAACATGTCTTTAATACTTAATATATCAAAAACTATTAAATATTCCTTAAAAATTCGAATAAAAAGATGAATAAAATAAAAATAATACACCAGATATTGTAAATGTAATGACTATAGATGTCGACTAGGCTTTAAATTTATACTGGGGAATAATAGAAAGTATTAGTGCATGTATTAATATTGGTATTCTGATATATTTAATATATTTAATAATAGGAACAAATATATTAATCGGACTTTATGTACTTTTTGGTTCTTTTGTATTTAATTTGATAACCACTATTGTTTTGATTTTTTTATTTTAAAAAGAATATTAAATAAAAGACTAAAGAGTAGGTTTAAGTAAAGATGTTATTGAAGGAATGAAAAGTATTAAGTATTTAAATTGGGAGGATATCTTTTTAAGGAAAATATAAAATATAAGAAAAAAAGAATTCAAGTATCTTTTCTATATTAATATTATGCACGGATATTAGTAAATGTTTTGGAATTCTTTAAGCTATTTACTGCTATTTTTTTTCCTTATTTTTGTAAAAGATGTACATAATTCTAATGTTTTCTCTATTATAGCCATATTTGGGTCATTAACTTATCCAATTGCTATTGTTCCTTTGGCTATAGGGATGGTTTTTAAGGCTAGTGTGTCTTTGAGGAGAATTTCGGCTTTTTTAAATTAAGAAGAGATTGATTATGAGGCTTTTGTTAATAAGAGTTTTATTTCTGAGTCTTTTTAAAAAAATTCGCTAATTAATTAAAATTAAAGCTTTAATAAAATTTAGTAGAATGAAGGAAGTATTAATAATTAAATCATTGAATATAATTCTTAATAATAATAAGAAAAAGAAAATAAAAATCAATTAGAAATAATTAAAAATAATTAATAAGAAAATATTTTAACATCTTCTTAGTTTAAATAGGAAAAAATAGCTATTTATATTTAAGATATGTAGTTTATATGGCCTTTTTAAAATAATTAAGTTCAAAATATCAAAAAATAAAAATAAAATACTCTAGAAGAAAAACTTATAGTATTATAAGGAGAAGAAGAAAAATAAAAAGACACTTTTTTGTTAAAAATTGATCATTTTTAAATAAAAAAAGGCACATTAAATATTATTTTAGGTAAATATGGAAGCGGGAAGACTGCTTTATTAAATGCGATTTTAAATGAGATGTAAATTAATGTAAAAAAAGAAGATATGATTAATATTAATCAATAATAATAAAAAGTACAAATAAATGGTACAATAGCATATGTATCATAAACTCATTGGTTATAAAGTAAAAGTATTAAAGAAAATATACTTTTTGGTTCTAAATATAATTAAAAAAAATACGAATAATGTATTAATGTATGTTAGCTATAAATAGATTTAGATGTTTCAAATAAAGGAGATGAAAAAATAGTAGGGCCAGATGGATGTAATCTTTCAGGAGGATAAAAATAAAGGATATGCCTATGTAGAGCATTATATTAAGAAAAAGATACTTTAATAAATTATGTAATATACGCCTATAATATATTTTTATAATTATATTTAAATTAATTTTAAAATATATAAATATATTTAAATATAAATATATATATATAAATAAATTTTAATATATAACTATAAAAAAAAATAGAAATTAATATATGTATATATAAATATAAAAATAATATAAATAATAAAATAAATAAATAAATATATATAGATAAATATATAAATATTTATATATATATCTATAAATAAATAAATATATATATATTTAATAATAATTAATATATATATTAAATATATATATAAATATATTTTTTTATATATTTAATTTATATTAAAATATTTTCATATTTACATATTATTATAATATTATATTGAATATTATATATATTTATTTAAATATATATATATTTTAATATATAATATTTATATATATTTTATATCTTTTTTTTTTCAAGTACATTTATTTTTAATATTTTTTTATAAATTTATTTAAAAAATTTATATATTCCTATATTAATTTTTTAATTTATATCCTATTTTTTTAAAAATCTTTTTTAAAAGTATTTTAAAAATTTAATTTAATTTAATTAATATGTTCATATATATATAATTTTATATTATTTATTTATTAGATGATATTTTTAGTAGTTTAGATATACATGTAAGTGAATAAGTATATTAAAATGCTATTTTAAAATTTCTTTTATAGACATTAAAGAAAACAGTTATTATTGTATTTTCTAGTCAATACAGTTTATTTTAATAATGTGAAAAAAGTTTAATTGATTAGATTTTTTATATTTAAAATGGATTTGTTTCTAAAAATATAAACTAAATGGATATTTTTATTGAATAATAATAGAATATAGTTAAAGAAGAAAAAAAAATATGTTTTTTTGATGAAAAAAAATCTGAATAAAATTCCTAAAGTGCCATTTAATAATTATATTCTAACTCTTCATCCTATAATAGAGCTTTTTCTTCACTTAAAGAAATTAAAGAATAGGCTAAAGATGAGTTTTTGAACTCTTAATAGTAATTTGATGAAAACATGGATGAATAAAGGGTATAAGGAGGCATAAAAATTCGAACTTTTATAACTTATTTAAGTTCTTTGAGTTTTTTAGGTAGTTTTATTTACTTAGTGTTAAATTTTGCAACACAAGCATCTATTTAATTGATTGATTTCTGGTTATCAGATTGGGTGGATCAAAGAAGTGATTTTTATGGTAAAATAAATGCCTATTTTGCAAATGATTTTGTTTAAATTTTTCTTTTTTGGTTGATATTGAATATCAGTATAACAGCTTCTAGGGGTATAATATATATAATATGTAACCTACTATGTAGTTATAGACTTTTTAATAAATTAAATAAATGTATAATGTATTCTAATATATAATTTTTTGATAATAATCCATCTGGTAGAATAATTAACAGAATTTCAGATGATATTGTGAATGTAGATGATTTATTACCTACATCAGTTAATATTTTCACAAAGCTATTTGCTTTGTCTATTGGATATCCAATTGGTATTTCTATAAAATTTCCATGGGTTATTTCTTTAATTGTAGTTTCTATTTTTGCTATGTATTATTTAAGATAATAATTCAAGGCAGCTAATAGAGAATTAAAAAGACTCAGTTAGGTAAATGGAGGTAAATTACTTACTTGTATGCATGAAATGCATAAAGGGGTACATATTATTAGAAGTTTTGGGAAATAATTATATTCTGTAAAAAGTTATTTGGAAGTATTAGATTTTAATATTAATTCTTTTTTGATTTCTTAGGCTGTTTATACTTGGATGTTGGCTAGACTGTAGATAATTGTCAATTTTCTATTTGCTTTTGTTTGTATTTCAAGTATTGTGGTGGTTTATATAGGCAATATTTAAAAAGATAATTATACTACCATTTCTTTGTGTATTACATATACTATTTTACTTGCAGGGAGATTTTCTGATCTTTTGTTTTAGTATTGTATGTTTGAATAGTAAATTATTAGTGTAGAAAGGATATAATAGTATTTTAGTAATGAAATGGAAAATCTAAACTAGAAAAAAACTAATCTTTATAAATCACCAGCTTCGGTTTTATTCGAATAGTAATAATAAGTTATTTTAAAAAATAACTAGATATAAAATGATTCGGCAATACTTTTTTCGAATGTTTTTCTTAATTATGAGGATTGTGGGGAAAATTATGCACTTAAAAATTTCAATTTAAATATCAAAAAAGGAGAAAAAATAGCCATATGTGGAAGAACAGGGTCTGGAAAAACATCATTTTTAAATGCTTTGTTTAATATGTATCCAATTTAATAAGGAAATATATTCGTTAACGGAGTTGATATTGATGAGTTGACTTTAAAGTAGTTAAGAAATTAAATATCAGTAATACCTTAATTTGGGTTCCTTTATTAAGCTAATCTTTTATAGAATTTAGATCCAGAAGGGAAATATACTGACTAGTATTATTTTATATTTATTATATATATTCACAAAAAAAAACAAAAGGTTTATTTTAAATAAAATTAAAGAAAGTAAATTAAGTTTAAAAAATTAAGATTATTAAGATTTTTAGATTTTGTAAGGTGGATAAAATATTTCTTGTGGTGAAAAATAAATAATTAATTTCTTAAGAATTATTCTAAAAAATACTAATATTATATGCTTAGATGAAGCTACTTCGAATACGGATCCTATTACTGATTCTCAAATTAATGAATAATTATTTGCTTTTGCGGAAAACAAAACTCTTATTGTAATTACTCATAGGTTGGAAAATATAGAAAAATACGATAGGGTAGTAGTTTTGAGTTAAGGTTAAATTGTAGAATGTGGAAATGTTTAAGAATTAAAGTAAATATAGAATGGATTCTCTAATTAATTATTAAATAAAGAAGGAGATAAATGATATTATTTAAATGAGTTAATAATAGTTTATAAAAAATTTTTATTATTAAAATTAAAATATAAATAAATTTATATATTTATTTTAATGTAAAATAAATTATGATTGTTATATTTATATATATATATATATATATATATATTATTCTTTATTACCCGAAAATAAAAATAAAACATTAATACACACAAAAAATCATAACAAAATTATTATATTTTTTATCAAATATTGCTGAATTTAAATAAATCATTTTTTTTTGTTAATTATAAATAAAATATTTCTTTTGATTTTTAATAATAATATATATAAATATAAATAAATATATAAAAAATAATTAAATATCATTAAAAAAATATTAAATAAATAAAATCAATATTAAAAAAAAATTATTCAAAAAAAAAAAAATTCATATATTAAATGCACACGTTGTAATAAAAATAAATTAAACCTAGATTTCAATAAAAAAGTGAATGATATTTGTAAATAAGATAAAATATATAATAATTATAAAAATAATAATATATTAATTAAAAATATAATTAACTTATATTTTGTATTATATGTAATAAATTAATTAAAACATAAAGAATTATAAAATATATAAAGTTATAATAAAATATTCAAAATTAAAATATATAAAGAGAATGTTACAAAGTACATAAAAATTAATATAAATCTAACTATAAATTTAAAAAAAAAAAAAATTATAAAATTATTGTAAAAGAAATAATAAACAATTATAATAGAAGACATATTTATTTAAAACGATAAATATTTTATAAATAAAATTTTTATTTTTTAATATTTAATAAATATATTAATTAATATAAAATAAATTTAAATGCGTATAAATGTATAATTTATATGGAAGAATTTGAAAAAATTATACATTAAAAAAAAAAAAAATATGTTATTATATAATATAATAATTAATAAAAAAATTGTTATAAATAAAATTATATATTAATGTAAAGATAAATATAAAAAAAAAAAAAAAATATTTATAAAATAAACATATAGATAAATATATATTATAAATAATGTATATAAATACATATATAAATATATTATATATATATATTTATATGAATATTTATATATTTATATATTTATATATTCATATTTATATTTATAATGTTATTATTTATAATTTAATATAAATAAAAAGATTTAATATAATATTTTATAAATGTTTATATAAAAAAAGAATATAAAATAAATGTATTTATATATAAATAATTACATTTTAAATAATATTCTTATTTTTTACTAATATTATTCTAGAATTTATTTTAAATTCATTTATAATATTAATTTAAAAATCAAATTTTTATATAGTTTCTTTTATTTTTTATAATTTTAAAAATAAAATTATATAAATTTTAAAATAATATTTTTTTAATATATTTATATCTATTTTTTTATACAAATTGAAATATTAATTTATAGTTTCTTTTTTGTTCATATAAAAAATATGTAAATTTTTTTTCATTATTTATTTTTTGTTCCAATTGTTTTTATATATTTTGTTTTATATATCCTTTTTTTTTTTTTTTTTAATTAAGATTAACAATTACAAATTATTAATTATTCATTTTTTTTTAAAAAAAAAATAATTCACATTAATATCTTAGATATTTGATTTTAAATCTAAAATAATTTTAGTTTATATCTATTTAATTGAAATATTTAGCTTAAGATGTACTATATCTTGAAATAACATTTAAAATTTTTTTATTAATAAAAAAATAAGTTTTAATAATCAAAAAAAAGGAATTTATTGATATATATATATATATATATATATATATATA